CGCGGGGCCGGCGGTGCGGGGAGGGCTGGCTCTGGTCCGGTGACTCCGATGTCCCCGTGGAACACCCCGGGCCCACGCCTGCCTCCTTTCCGGGCAGGAGGGCCCGGAGGGGCCGTCCACGGCCCGGACGGCAGCCAAGCTGTCCAGGCCTGGCTTTTCTGCTCCCGTGTGGACCCAGCACGGGCCTCCGACCAGTGCTGCACTCAAAGGACGTGTCATTACAGGGAGAAATGCCGCTGACCTTCCAGGATGTGGCCGTGTACTTCTCCCAGGCCGAGGGGCAGCAGCTGGGGCCCCAGCAGCGAGCGCTGTACAGGGACGTGATGCTGGAGAACTACGGGAACATGGCCTCGCTGGGTGAGGACTGCCCTGGTTCCGTCCATATTGGATGTCTCTAGGGGGGTTGGGATCCCAAAGAAGAGGGCCTGCCCTTGTCCCCAGGTACCAGGCTGTTCTCTGTTAAAGGAACATTCCCTATGGGGAAGCTGCCTTGTGGCCCAGTTCTAGGGACTTTACTCTGTGTAACCAGTGTCCCACTGTGGAAGTCCCTGGCTTGTGATCACTTGCACCCTTGCACTCAGGGAGACCCAGCAGGCAGCGTGCTGTCCCATCTCACCAAAGTCCTCACCCTCAACAGGATTCTCGATCCCTAAGCCAGAGCTGATCTCCCAACTGGAGCAAGGGGAGGAACTATGGGTCCTGGATCTTCTGGGGGCTGAAGAACCAGAGGTCTTGAGAACCTGCCAGACAGGTGAGCATGAGCTGGAATCTGGTCCTGGGAATGGCCTCACAGCCCAAGATGGGCTGAAATGAGGGGAAACAGGGAGGGCAGATAGGGTGATGGTGCTTAGTCCAGTCTCTCCAGGGGCAAACAGTTTCTCGTGCACTTGTAGGTATATGCACCTACTTTGAAAGGCTTTGTTGCTCCATTTGCTTTGCTTTCTTTCTTTTTTTTTGAGTTCGGTCGTGGGGTCTGAACTCTGGGCCTGGGCGCTGTCCCTCAGCTCTTCAGTTCAAGGTTGGTGCTCTACCACTTGAGCCACAGCGCCACTTCCGGCTTTTTTCTGTTTGCTTATGTGCTGCTGAGGAATTGAACCCAGGGCCTCAGGCATGCAAGGCAAGCGCTCTACCACTGAGCCACCTTCCCAGCCCTTGCTTTGCTTTCTAAACAAAACAAAACAAAAAACAACAGACAGGCACCCGTGGCTCACACTTGAAATCCTAGCTACTCAATATGCTGAGAATTGAGGATCACAGTTCAAAGCAGCCCTGGCAGGAAAGTCCATGAGACTCTTACCTCCAATTAACCACCAAAAACTGGAAGTGGCACTGTGGCTCAAGTGAGAGTATGTGCTTTGAGCTGAAGAGCTGACAGCACCCAAGCCCAGAGTTCAAGCCCCACAACCGACAAAACAAGTTCTCTGATTATGTCCGTTGTGTTCTAGTGAATACCTTTATGCATCTTTGTGCACATTCTATAATACAGCTTCTTGTCCTCCTTTGGCAGCAGGTACTGGTGCCCTGCTGTGTTCTTTTCTCCTTCATCTTTTGTTTCCTCATCTTCACTTATGGTCAGTAGTGTTTCCTCTTCCTTTTTTTTTCTTTTTTTTTTGGGGGGGTCCAGTTGTGGGGCCTGAACTCTGGGTCTGGGTGGTGTCCCTCTGCTCTTCAGCTCAAGGCTAGCGTTCTACCACTTGAGCCACAGCGCCACTTTTTGCTTATATGGTGCTGAGGAATCGAACCCAGGGCCTCAGGCATGCAAGGCAAGCGCTCTACCACTGAGCCACCTTCCCAGCCCTTCTCTTCCTTTTCTTTGAGATGGGATCTCCATGGTTCCTAGGATGGTATTAAATCCCGGGTTCAAGTGATTCTCCCACCTCACCTTCCTTAGTAGCCAGGACTACTAGATTAATAGTATTTGTGGATGAGTGTGCATGTACATGTGTGCCACACCAATACTGGGGCTTGAATTCAGGGCCTCTCACTCTATTAGTTTTTTTCCTTAAGACAGGATCTCTACCACTTGAGCCACACTTGTACTTCCAGGTTTTCTCTGGTTAATTAGAAATAATAGTCTCATGGGTTTGTCTGCCTGGGCTGGCTTAAGCCTTGATTCTCAGATCTCAGCCTCCTGAGTAGTTAGTGGGGAGTGAGCCACTGGTGCCTAGCTTAATAGTATTTTTAAAAAAGGTTTATCTTTGTTCTGTTGAAATCTGTTTCTCTACTTGATTCATCAGTTCTAAGAATCATTTTGATTTCCAGCTACTGAGGCTTATTGTGCTTTTTACCCTTGCCTCATTCCTCTCTTATGATTTGTTAAGTGTACTATTACTCACTGTTAAAAGTATTGGGGGTTTTTTTTGTTTTTTTTTTTTTTGCTCCGGTCGTGGGGCCTGAACTCTGGGCCTACGTGCTGTCCCTCAGCCCTTCAGCTCAAGGCTAGCACTCTACCACTTGAGCCACAGTGCCATTTCCAGCTTTTTTTTTTCTGCTTATGTGGTGCTGAGGAATCGAACCCAGGGCCTCATGCATGCAAGGCAAGCGCTCTACCACTGTGCCACCTTCCCAGCCCTGTTAAAAGTATTGTATGTCATGATTTCTATCCCCATCTTTGCTCTTACCTTACTTCTACAATTAGGGTAGAACAATCAGTTGATACCAGTGGTTGGTTACCCTTTAGTTATATGTCTATACTTTTACCAAAATTTCTTCATCAGCTCTGTTTAGTGGAGCTTATCTTCTAGTAGTTCACTCAGAAAGTCTCTTGTGGATCATATACCCAAGGGCTGGAGGTATGAAAAAATGGTAGAATGCCTAGTAAGCAGAAAGCCCTGAGTTCAAACTCCAATTCTAACTACCACAACAAAAGTATGTATACACATACATACACACTAGTTTTTAAAGATGGGAACTTAGATAATTGAATTGTGATTTGGTGGTGGTGGTGGTGGTGGTTGTGGGGCTTGAACTCCAGGCCTGGGCACTGTCAGCTCAAGGCTAGCACTCTACCACTTGAGCCTCAGCACCACTTCCAGCTTTTTCTGTTTATGTGGCACTGAAAATGGAACTCAAGGCTTCATGTATTCAAGGCAAGCACTCTATCACTAAGCTACATTCCTAGCCCTGTAGACACTTACAATTATATGGTTTTCTCAAAACACGGCCTTAGGGTCACTTTACATAATTTCAGTGTTCTCTTTTATTACCACATAATTTATTTATTTATTTATTTATTTATTTATTTTTTTGTTGGTCGTGGGGCTTGAACTCTGGGCCTGGGCGTTGTCCCTCAGCTCTTCAGCTCAAGGCGAGCGCTCTACCACTTGAGCTACAGTGCCACTTCCGGTTTTCTGGTGGTTTATTGGAGATAGGAGTCTCACAGTCTTTCCTGCCCGGGCTGGCTTTGAACCTCGATCCTCAGATCTCAGCCTCCTGAGTAGCTAGGATTACAGGCGTGAGCCACCAGCGCCCGGCTCATAATTTATTTATTTGTGGTTGGTCATGAACTCTGGGCCTGGGTGCTGTCCCTCAGCTATTCAGCTCCAGGCTAGCCCTGTACCACTTGAGCCACAGTGCTACTTCCAGCTTTTTTCTGCTTATGTGGTGCTGAGGAATCGAACCCAGGGCCTCATGCATGTGAGGCAAGCACTCTACCACCGAGTAACCTTCCCAGCCCATACAATATTGTTTAAAACATTCTAATTTTTATTGTTTGACCCAGTGATTATTTGGACATGACTAATTTCCACATAGCTGGTGTTTTCCTAGTTATATTATTATTGTTACTTTATTACTTCATTATATGTGACCATAAGACACATGAATTTTTGTGTTAACTAGCCATTTACTTTTTTTTTTTTTTTGGCTGGTCCTAGGCTTGAAACTCTGGGCCTGGGCCATATTGTCCTTGAGCTTCCTTTATTTTTGTTTGGTCTGGTCGTGGGGCCTGAACTCTGGGCCTGGGTGCTGTCCCTCAGCTCTTCAGCTCAAGGCTAGCACTCTACCACTTGAGCCACA